AATATTATGGAGCAGAGATAGAAAAAAACTTTGAACTAGAGGAGGGTTAGGAAGCAGGACACATCACCCAAAGAAAGTGGCTCACAAGAGAGCAGGCAGGTGTTAAGATCTCTCTCGGTTAGACACAGAAAGTCAATATTATGGAGCAGAGATAGAAAAAAACTTTGAACTAGATACTACATAGTATTGAGCCTCTCCTTGCACAACAGATTTCAGATAAAAGGCACCAGATCTCAAGGAAGTAAGATCACCTATACATCCCACTTTCTCAAGAAGACTGGAACTGCTACAAGACATCATGCATTTCTAAGGATGTGTTAAAGAGCTGGCTCAGATGAGTGACTGCAGGCATCAGAGACTTAATTACTGAGCATTTTTATGTGCCAGTCATTGCTCTAGGCACTAAAACTGTAAACATGAATAAGATAGACACATATCTGCTCTCTGTAAGCTCTAGTATGGTGGGATAGGGGAGTAATTCAATTAGAAATTAAAGTTGAACTTAGTAAACTGTACATGGGAAATACAGTGCACCATAGAATCATACAGCAAGGGGCTTAACTCAAAGACAATGAACTCAATGACAGAGAAGAGAGTTTTTTAATCTGAGCACTACTGACATTTGCGGGACCAGATAATTGTTTGTGTGTCGGGAGTGGAGGCAGGGTGGATGTCCTGTGCATTGTAGGATGTTTAGCAGTAATCCTAGCCTCAATGCACTAGATGCCAATTGTATCAACCAAAAATGTCTGCAGACATTGCCAGATGTCCTCTGAGGGATAAAATTGCCCTTGGTTGAGAACTGCTGTCTTAGATGAAGTGATATCTAAGACATCTAAACTATGACTCGAACCAAAGTGAGAGTGTAGAGGCTGATGACTGGTTTTCTGGTTTGGTAAACTGTGTAGCCTGGTGGTTCCCTTTCCTGAGATATGGCACACAGGAGGAGAAGCAGTTTTGTAAGGGGAAAATAATGACTTCAGTATTATATAAGCTGAGTTTGCAGTGCCTAGGGGACATTCAAGTGGAGATGACCAGCAAGAAGATGGTGCTTTAACAAATAGGTTTTATGCTTATTCAGGTATGTGAGGCCCACGGATCAGGAGACAATTGCCTTCTAAAAGATAATTTGTTACTCAGAGTTCCCAAGGGGAGAAGGTGTGGCATGCCACACAGGGCCACATAGAGAAGCACCAGGGTTGGTTAGGAAGCAGGGGGAGCCAGAAAAATGTGGACAAGAGCCTTTGTTGTGTTTTCCAAAGGAAGGAATGGACAAAGCAGGGTGAGCAGACTTAGGCTTAGAATTGACTAGTTTGAATAATTTCAGCAGGCTGTGGGGCATAAGAAATGTCCCTTGTCATCTGGTACCTGAACCTGGAGTTATTAGGGCAGGTAGATAGTGGCCCAGAGTGTGAGAGCCAGTGAGAACCCAATAAAGGAGGCAGTTGTAGTTAAGGGCTCTGGATTGGTTGATTTGTATGTGAAAGTTGTGCTTGCAGGCAAGCCCTTTACTATCTCTTGGAATTGTTTGCCCTATCAGAGGCAGTCACTCCAGGGACATTGAGGCCCCCAAATGTCTAAGAATCATAATATAGAATATAAAAAGATATGATTAATATGGGCAGATAATATAAGTTCAGAAAAGAGATTGGGAGTGAAAATATATATTTGGGTGTTATCAACCCAGTGACTCTTTGATTCAAATTCTGAGTTAATGGCATTTTCCAGGAAGAGTTTGTAGAATGGTAAGAGAAGGAGGTCTGAGGTGGAACCCTCAGGAGAAACTCCAACATGTAAGGGATGCTCAGAGAAAGATGAGCACACAAAAGAATCTGAGGGATGGCCATAAAAGGAAGGTAAGGACGAGGTTTTGTTGAGAAAAGGGCAGTAGTCAACACACAAAGTGACATGACAAAAATGAAAACTGAAAATTTTTACTGTACTTTCCCATTAAAAGTCGTGAGGACAAAATCCATATAGCAGCAGATTGAAAAGTGAGCGGGAAGAGAAGTAGTTGAAACATTGAGCACAGACAACTCTTTCAAAACTTACTTATGAAGAGGAGATAGGCCAGTAACTAGAAGGGGACGTAAGGGTGAAAGGAGATACATCTTTTTTTTAACCAGAAAAGTTTGACTACAGGTCGCTTCTGTTGGGAAAGAGACAGTAGAGAGAGAGATATTAAAGATACATTAGCAAGACTGTAAATTTTTAGTAGCATTGAGTTGGACACTTGAATTAGTCTTTTCAGCAGAATTTATTAACCTGACGTTAGTCATGGAGACTATAAAGAATTGCATTTTTCAGGAATCGGGAGCGTAGAACCAAGTGATAATAAATTAAGGATATCAGCAAGAAAATGGTTATCATGATGGGTTAAAGAATACAAGACACACAAAGATGGGAATAGGGAGCTGATAGAAATATGAAGCAAAAGACTACGTATGAAGAAATGAGGCAGGAGCTTCATTAAAAAGCTCTCGGTTGAGATTCTGTATAGGGGAGTCATGCATCAGATGGTGCAGAGCTGTGAGGAAATGGCCTTTAGGTTTTCCTCCAAACTAGAGAGGCCAAGGCCCTGTATTATGATTTTTATCTAATCTGAGCTTAAATTTAGTAAAATTCAGCAGTCAGTGGACACTGTTGATTTGTGTTGAGTTTTTGATTAGTACACCCCTAGGTCTTCTTTTGTCTTTTAGTTTTTTAATGAATGACTGCCAAGTTTGCAAGTTTGGTTTCTTCTTTTCTATATTTGTCCAACTGAGATTTTGAAAGTAAGTTTAATTTACCCTGTTCAATGTTATCTCATTATCTTATCTACTATGTGGGCCATTTGTTGGTTTAAGGCTTCTTGCTCCATCATATTGAAATCCTTTTGGATTATTGTTCTATCACTTATCATATTAATTCATATCACATTTCTAAGATTTTTTTCAATTGCGAACATATTAAGCATACATATGTCACCATAAAAATCACTGATTAAAAATGTAGATCAGGAATGGTTAAAAATCTTGTGCCACTAAATGAGAAACATTGCAGATGTGTTAACTCCTTTATGTTTCACAGGAAACAAATATTTCCAGAATGTTTATGTGCATCAGGCATGGTGCCAGCTTTAAGAATGCATTCATTAATTTATTTAACAATGTTTGTTGAGAGCCTCTTATACACCAGGTACTGCACTTGGAGATGGGGATACACAATTGTGAACAAAAGCAGACCCAGTGGATGGAACTTAAAGATCAGTGGTGTAAACAGACAAGTGTTAAAAGTGTGTATAGCCTATTCTCTGTAGCTTACAGAGTGCATCAGATCCTTTAATCCCAGTCAAAATCCTGTGAAATAAGTTATTTTCTCTGTTCTACCAGTAAGTAAGCTGAGACTCACAGAAGTGAGTTTTTCAGAACAGGTGGCACAGCTGGTCAGTGATACAGTTGGTGTGTAGGGTTCCGATGTGGACGCTAATGCCAATGCACTGCACTGTGTGGTCATTCAAAAAACAGCTGTGATGTATTGATTAGCTGTATGTGAATCAACACTTTGTTATTATTAATTCACACTTTCTTCATCTTTTCCACAAGCGCATCAAGGGCAGCATCCAAATACCTAACTGGATAGTGGATCCACTGTTGATCCACGGATGATGATCGATGTTCGGTAGACTTAACAAAAAGAACAAGTTAACATGGCAAAAAATGTTCATACTGAGCATACAATAGGCTTCTGTTGATCACTAGTTTCCTTTTTTGCTTTCTGATATACCTTTTTATAATCCTGTTTAGATTTTTACCATAAGAAATATCAACCTTATAGGAGAGCAACTTTTTATGCCTATCTCTCTTCCATAGTTTATCAACGCATGTTAGTAGTTATTAATCTGCAGTTTCTTAAAAGAAATGAAGTTTCATGAGACTTGGAAGGTCAATTGTTTCACTCAACAAAATTTATCATGTACTATTTTCCCTGAATGAAATTAACATTAATTTAGCACCCGTTGTGTACCATAAAGAAAGACACTAATATTTATTTTTGTATTCACTATGTTCTCCACCACTATGGAGCTCACAGTGAGAGACGGATGAGGACATATAAAAAGAATTCCAGTGAGTGTGACAAGTGCTGGAGAGGAACTGTACAAAGAGGGTCGGGCTACAGAGGAGGGAACAATTTCTGGGGAGTGAGGGATGGATTTATCAGTATAAGAAGTGTGTGTGGCATGATGTGTTCTAGGCATATGACTGGTCATAAGAAACATATTTGTTGCTAATTTTTTTTCCCCAAAGGGATGGATTTAGACTGTTCTCAGTCCTTTGCTGGTCATGAGTGGGACTTCCAGGATTGGGACACTGACCATATTCATTGAGCAGAAGGAAGCAGATGAGCACCCAGAGGTCAAACTTGTGACCTCAGCCTGCTTAGCCCTGGACCATAATCTACTTAAACAGTCCACTTTATAGTTTAGGACAAGAGAACAGTGTAGAATACTAATGCCACATGTTTACACATCAGATTTTTAAAAGCAGTACCCACATTAATATGTTGAGCCCTAATCTCAACGCTGAGAGGGAAGCAATACATCATCTCTACTTTCAGACAAGGAAATATGAGGTCCAAAGGACTGAGTGTCCTGGTTAAAGTTACGGGAAAAACAGACAGCAGGACTAGGGTTCAAACGAAGGCGATTTCAGTCCTAATCCAGTGATCTCCACTCTAAAGAAGAGAAGAGCAAGACTAGAAGACTGTACAGAACAGAACTGAGTAGCAAAAATAGGTAATGCATAATTTAGGAGTATTTAGGCAATCCTGTGAAATAATGTTTTAATCCACGTTCTTCATAACAGGCATTAAATTGTCTTTTGTTGTTTGGACAGGTGAAAGGCTATGCCAAGTTTCAACACCAGTTTTGGAGAGAGCTTCATTTTGGTGGGCTTTTTGGATTGGCCTCGACTGGAACTCATGTTTTTTGTCTTTATTTTGATTTTCTACTCCCCAAGGCTATGCCAAGTTTCAACACCAGTTTTGGAGAGAGCTTCATTTTGGTGGGCTTTTTGGACTGGCCTCGACTGGAACTCATGTTTTTTGTCTTTATTTTGATTTTCTACTCCTTAACTCTCCTTGGCAACACTGCCATAATCCCTCTCTCCCACCTGGATCTTCGACTGCACACGCCCATATACTTCCTCTGCCACCTCTCCTTCCTGGACCCCTGCTTCACCACCAACACTGGGCCCCAGCTTCTGATCCACCAGCCCATCACCGGGGGAGGGTGTGTAGCCCAGTTCTTCATCTACCTCTCCCTGGGCACCACTGAGTGTGTGCTCCTGGTGGGGATGGCTTTTTACTGCTACATTGCTGTCTCCCGTCCACTCCACTACATGGCCATCATGTATCCTCATCTCTGCCAGACACTGGTTGTCACCTCCTGGGTGGGAGGCTTCATGATCTCTCTGATTCAGACAGACCTTGTGATGGTCATGCTTCTCTGTGGCCATCGGCTAAACCACTTCTTCTGTGAGATGCCTGTATTCCTGAAGTTGGCTTGTGAGGACACAGAAGGAACAGAGGCCGAGATGTTTGTGGTCCGAGTCACCATCTTGGTTGTTCCTGCAGCACTAATTCTAGGCTCCTATGCACACATTGCTCAGACAGTGCTGAGGATCAAGTCAATGGCTGGGTGTAGAAAGGCTTTCAGGACTCGTGGGTCCCACTTGCTGGAGCTTTTCCTTTTTTATGGCTCAGGCATCTACACATACTTTCAACCCATCCACAGTTATTCTGAGAGCGAGGGAAAGTTTGTTGCTCTTTTTTATACTATAATCACTCTTATTCTCAATCCTGATTTATACTCTAAGGAACAAGGGTGTGAAGGAGACTCTGTGGAAGGTACAAGGAAGAGGCAGAGACTCAGGGTAGGAGAGGAAAGGAGTGTCGGTACGATTGTAATATCTCTCAGACCATGGAGCCCATCCTGTTCCTTAGAGGGCAGTTGGTCAGTAGAAAACAGCTCTCAGTAGTCCTTGGGGTTTTAGTGGCTTCCTTGCTTGGAAGATGGAAGTAGGGATCTCTAGGGACTCTCTAGTTCAGTGTCTATGATCCTTGTGCAGCCAGGAGTGAGTGCTGATTTGTGTCACAACTTCCCAAAGGAATGAGCTTGGGAAGAGGGTGTATTGTGTCCACTTTCAGAGAGTAGGGATGGATTCTAAGCAAGTCTGAAAGTGAGAGAGGTATTAATTTGGAATGGCAACACCTTTTCCAGAGTCACTGATTCCCATCTTGGTGTAGATGGCATTGTGCCCTAAGGCAAAGGACATGAGTTCACTCCTGCTCTTCCAATTACCCATGATCCTGGCCATGTCCCCTCATATCTCAGGGCCCATTTATAAGGTCTTTATATTGGTTACCCCTCTATGATACTTGGAGCAAGTAAGGACATCATGAATAGAAGTGCTTCATGGAGCATGTGAAGTTTCAGACATGGATGACATTTACCTATTTGAACAAAAAGGCAAAATCATTAGGATGGCACTGAGTAAAGGCAGGTGTCAACATCTCATCAACTGCACTGAGTCTCTGTTGTGCTGCTTGGTGTCATGGACAAGATATTTTCCATATAAGAGAGAATAGAATAGAAAGAAAAGAGCACATAAATAATGAGACAAGGGGAAGTGATATGGGGAAGAAGAAAGATAAGAGGGAGTGACAAAAATGGAAAAATAAAGAGAGAGATTCCTGTGGTAGGGAGTGGTAGAAAGTTCAAGTCTCTACACAAAGTGTGAAGACAATGGATACTTGAAATTTTACCACTGTCATTTCATTTCATGTACTTGATTCCATGTGAAAGTGTACGTATCCTTGTTCATAACCTTTTACAGTGTTGGCAAATTCCATGTTGAGTGAATCATCACTTATTTTAATAACAGTAACTAGTATTTGTTTATATTTAACAACCTTTTTGCATAATTGTGATTAATCCTTAAAACAGCGTTGTGAGAGTTAGTTCTGTTATACACACTATTTATTTACAAAAAACTGAGGTTCAAAGGATTTAAGTCACTTACCCAAGTTCATGTAGAAAATATGGGGTGAAGCTGAGATTCAGGTTTCTATAATCCCAAACCTAACCCTTACTACAACACCCTGTCAATTCTTTTATTTTGAGAGTAAATTTTTAATAGGCAGAGTTTGAGGCTGGAAAGGAAAGTAGTTGGAGAGGAAATCAAAAGCTTAAAGTACTTTGCAGTTTTGCTTTGTTTGATTCTGGCCAGGGTTCTACACTCTTCTGGGTTACATATACTTTGGTCAGGGAGCATATTTTTTTCTTTGCACAAAACTAATGTATTCAATCATAATAGTTCCAATTTACTGGACCATAGTTCAAGCACCATGCTATACTATATACTACACTGTCACACTTAATTCTTATATCATGAAATGTAGATATTATTCCCCTCCCCCCATTAGTTGTATTGAGCAAGAAACTAAAAGTTAGGTAATTATTTTGTATAATTTGTCTGAAGTTACCCAAGCATTAAAGGGAAGACCAGGATTTGAATCTGGCCTGTTTTATTCTGAATTCTATCCACCTTGCCACCACCTAAGAATACATATTTTTGTATTTATTAGCTCAAGGCCCTAACCAACAGTCTACATGAAAAAAATGTTTTTCTCCTGTATCCTTGCAAATCTGGGTCTAACCAATTCAAGCATATGCATTAATTTAGTGTATAAAAGGGAATCATCTCAGCTAGCAGGACAGAATTTAATAAGTTATTGTGTGGTTAATGTGTTATTCTTTCATTCGGCATGCAGGGAAAATAGCCACCCACTTATGTTAAAGGGAGCATATCCTATATTCAAGCAATTTAAAGAGGCCATTGCTACAGTTGACAACATGCAGCAATTGCTTTTTGCAAGGAAGGTATCATGGGAGGCAAATGCCATCTCCGTGGGAACCTACACACCTTAGGTCTCCTTGGACCTTCTCATCCATAGCACTGGCTATCTGATCATCAGAGATTGTGGGTCCCTGTAGACCTGCCAGAGCCGGTGAGCGATTCTCAGTGTCTCTCAGATGCCCACTTGAGAGAGGAAGTCAGAGGTGACTTCCTGTGTAAAGCAGAATATTAACATCTTGGCACCTATCTTCTTTGTCTTTTAGAACCTGGCTGGCTGCCACTTGAAACCCTTGGCCATTTGTCCTTACCTGCCAAACCACCTAAATGGGGTTTTGAGCTAGAAATAATGGTGCATGCCAGACTTAAAAATTGGGGCTAATCTATGGAAAAGACAGGGATACATAGGGGAAAAGAGATTGTACAGAACTGGCTCTCAAGAGAAAAAATTAAGGGATGATTTAATAGAGAAGAAAGAACAAGAACTTAGATATATTTCAGTGAATACCAGAAAAAGCTGTTACTGTAGTTTTTAAAACATTCTTGGACTTCATAACTTATTTTTTTTAATCTCATTGGTTTTTCTGGCATCACTTGTAATTAAAGTCCATAGGATAAGATCAGTAACAAAACAAAGCAATCTAGTCTTTCCACTTCTATTCAGCATAGTACTAAAAGTCCTAGCCAGAGCAATGAGGCAGGAGAAACAAATAAAAGACATCCCAATTAGAAAGAAGTAAAATTCTCTCTGTTTGTAAGTGATGGGATCTTACATATAGAAAACTCTAAAGACTCCACCAAAAGAAAAAAAACCTGTCAGAACTAGTAAATGAATTCAGTAAAGTCACAGAACATAAAATGAACATACAAAAAAATCAGTCACATTTTTTTTTTTTTTTTTTTTTTGGACTGGTAAGGGGATCATAACCCCTGGCTCAATGTCATCCACACCATGCTCAGCCAGTGAGCTCACCAGTCATCCCTATATAGGATCTGAACCCGCGGCCTCAGCGCCACCAGCACCGCACTCTCCCAAGTGAGCCACAGGGCTGGCCCCACATTTCTATTCCCTAACAACAAACTATCCAAAATAGAAATCAAGATACAAAGACCAATTTATAATAGCATCAAAAATGGTAAAATACTTAGAAATAAACTTAGCCAAGGAGGTGAAACATTGATACACTCAAAATTATAAAACATTGGTGAAAGAAATTACAGAAGACACAAGTAAATGAAAAGATATCCCATGTTCATGGATTGGAAGAATTAATATTTTGTAAATGGGCCCTGACAATGAGCCCCATGCCTGACAGCACCAGTACAACCAGACCCCATCAGACTGACAGCAGACATCTCATCAGAAACCCTAAAGGCCGGAAAAGAATGGGATGATATATTCAAAATAACAGAAAAAAAATTGACAGCCAAGTATTCTATAGCTAGCAAAGCTATTTTTTAAAAATTTTATTTTAACTTCTCAACATACATTGTAGTTGATTTTCATGTCTCTTTACCCACTCCTCTTTCTGCCCTCTGTCTCTCCCTTCCCCCAACTACATCATATCTGTTCTCTTGTCTTAACAAGTTCAAGGAATAGTTGTGATTGTTGTGTCTTCTTCCCCTGAACCACCATTTATTTGTTTGTATATTTATTTATTTATTTTTAGCTCCCACAAATAAGTGAGAACATGTGGTATTTCTCTTTCTGTGCCTGACTTCTTTCACTTTTAATATAATTTTCTCTAAGTCCATCCATGTTGTTGCGAATGGCAGTATTTCATTCTTTTTTATAGCAGAGTAGTATTCCATTGTGTAGATATACCACGTTTTCCTTATCCACTCATTTGATGATGGACATTTGGGCTGGTTCCAACTCTTAGCTATTATAAATAGTGCTGCAATAAACATGGGAGTACAGATATCCCTTTGGCATGATGATTTCCATTCCTCTGGGTATATTCCCAGCCATGGAATAGCTGGATCATATGGTAGATCTGTCTGCAATTGTAACCTCCATACCATTTTCCACAAAGTCTGCACCATTTTGCAGTCCCACCAACAGTGTATGAGAGTTCCTTTTTTTCCGCAACCTCACCAGCATTTATCATTCTCAGTTTTTTGGATATTAGCCATCCTAACTGGAGTGAGATGGTATATCAGTGTGGTTTTGATTTGCATTTCCCGAATGCTGAGTGATGTTGAGCATTTTTTCATGTGTCTTTTGGCCATTTGTACATCTTCCTTTGCCATCTGATCTTTGACAAAGGCACCAAATCTACACATGGGGGAAGAGACTACCTCTTCAGCAAATGGTGCTGGGAAAACTGGATATTCATATGCATGAGAATGAAACTAGACCCATACCTCTCACTGTATAACAAAATCAACTCAAAATGGATTAAAGAATTAAATATACATCCTGAAACAATAAAACTCCTTAAAGAAAACATAGGGGAAACACTCCAGGAAGTAGGAGTGGGTATAGACTTCATGAATATGACCCCAAAAACACAGGCAACAAAGGAAAAATAAACAAATGGGATTATATCAAACTAAAAAGCTTCTGCACAGCAAAAGAAACCATTAATAGAGTGAAAAGACAACCAACAGAGTGGGAGAAAATATTTGCAAAATATACATCTGACAAAGGATTAATATCCAGAATATACAAGGAACTCAAACAACTTTAAGGCAAAAAAACCAAGTAACCCAATTTAAAAGTGGGCAAAGGAGCTGAATAGGAATTTCTCAAAGGCTATCCTTCAGAAATGAAAGAGAAATAGTATATTTCCCGGAGAAACAAAAATTGTGGAAATGCACCACCACACAACCAGCCCTGCAGGAAATCCTCATGGGAGTACTACATCTGGAATCCAAAAACCAATAATCACTACCATGAATACACAAGAAAGAACAAAAGCCACTAGTTCCTCTACACATTGATATCCAGTTTTTCCAGTACCATTTACTGAATAGGCTGTCTTTTCTCCAATGTGAAAAAGACATTTGGCATCTTTG